CGGTTCGTGGGGCTAAAAAGTGGACGTGCACAATTAAGCTATCGCATGCTGAAAATAGTCAAGAGTATACTAGATGAGACGGTGTATAATTTTAAGGTCTTTGGGTTGGTGAGGGACGACCTCGGGCTTTTATTTTCATTCTTTTTACTTGTCGTTTTGATTTCTGGTACTAAATTTGTTTGTAAGCTAAACATCAATTTCGTTAATCCTGTATTGGAACTGAACACTCAAGTAATAACTTTCACTACTCCAACTCCACTACAAAACCATTCAAAGGCACAACTCATAGGACGGTCACGTTCACCCCCCCCCCCCCCCCCACATGTTCACGGTCACAGAGTCACTTAAAATTGTGGCAAGACAGACAATGAACCAATCACAATTTACTTGAGCACTCCGCTTGATTGCTCCGGGCTCACATAATATTGGCAAAGAATAGCGTACAGTGTATCGCGTTTATTTTTAGACTGCCTACTTAACTGTGGCCTATGTTTCAGCATTATTCGGCAGGCGCACATTTGAAATGTGCCGTCTTATTAATATTAATGTACTGCCAAACTCGCTACGAGTGTCGTCATCGCTTGGGTTATCCCCAAGAGCGATTTATAGGTCAGGTTACACTGTTGAATATCCTATTGCGTTTAAATAGAGCGCGCGGACTTTGGCATGGCATAGTTCATGTTTTACGGCGCTATAGACACAGAAATGACAGTTATGGCGCTAGTGAGGACCTTGTTTAGATAAATTATTTGACTAGTGTTTGTTTCGGGCTTCTTTTATTTTAATGGTGTGGGTGCTTTACGTAATAGAACATAAAAACATGTTGGGTGTCACTGCACGACCGTGCTCTATGGACGAACTGCGCCCGCATACAAGCATAACATACATGCACACAATTATATATTGGCGTTGATTATTTGTGTCTTTTCAGCAAGCGCGTCTCATGACCGCATGAGCGGTGTATTTCATTACAGAACAAAAATCTAAACACTGTTCAGGTCTTGTTGCCCCACCAGGAAAGGGAGTGCCCACAACGTGTCAATATCAAATCTACATTTTAATTTGTCCTTGTTTTATTACCCCTTTTAAGTGCGATCATGCGTGCCAGTGTATTTATTGCCTTGTTGTGAAACAACTTTGCAAGTCCAGGGTGCACATTTTACTATTCTGCGTATGTGGGGTGGAGTGTTTGTGTTATAAGTACAATTATAAACCCAACCGTTGTACTAATTTTAGGCCTATATTTTTTTTTTTCAGAGTAAAAGCAAAAGGCCCTAATTTTTTTTTTCCTGAAGTCTCACCTGACTCCAGCTATTCATTGCATTCCCAATAGCAAATCTGTTTTGATATGGCGTTCCTCATGAACAAAGAATCATACAGGAATAGGTCGCTAGGGTGCCCTGGTTGTTACAAAGGAAAACTGTCTCTTGACAAAACAGGCGCAAGGTTGTATCAAATCAAAACAATAAAAAATATTTAATAGATGGACATAGAAACAGCAGGTTAAAGTGAAAGAAGAAGAACGTTCCGAACCTACAAGTACATATTGTATTAACTGTTTGTACATTTTGGAATAATAAGTAATGTTTTTAAACATGTGTTCTCTTTCTATCTGTTTGTTTTTACTTCACAGGTTGCATTTAAATTCACACAACTGTGCAAAGAGTAAAGCAAGAGCAACTCTGTTCTGTGGCCTATTTTACTATTTTTCTCTTTAAGTTTTTGTCCGAGTTAACTTGAAGTTTAGTCGGTCTTTCTTCCCGCTATTACGTTTTACTATTTGGAGGCGGGGGCTTTCGTGGTCTACACACACACACACACACACACACACACACACACACACACACACACACACACACACAAACATATTTGGACGCATGCATACATTTCGACTCGCACAGACACAGCTTTCAAACAGGGACAATCAAGACCTCCCCACACCCCCCAAAAAAAACAACAACAACAACAACAAAATAAAACACAAACACGTCATACTTTTAGTTTTTTTTGTTTTAGTAAGAGTTTTACGGCACTTGCAACACAATAAGGTCATATAAGTGCCGAAGATTAGAGGTGTTACAAGAGAGTAACAAACATAAAAAAGAAGGAGAGATCAGGATGATAGATGTTATA